TGGGGGACTGCGGGTGCAGCTGGACGGTGGGCAGCGGCGAGCTTGACTTGTAGTGCCTGGCCAGGTCGGGGCTGCCCGGGCCGCCGTTGACCGAGCGGTACCGCCCCATACCGGGGCTGTCCGAGAGCTTCTCGTTGACGCTGTCGTAGCGCTGCCCATTGGGCTTGGAAGCCTCAACGGTGACGATGCTGCTGTAGAGGGGCTGCTTGCCCTTCTTGCCTTTCTTGTCCTTCTTGGGCTTCTTGGCCTTGTCGTGCTGTTGCGGGGTGAAGAAATCCTCGTGGTCCTTCTTGCCAGCCTCGTAGCCGTGTTTGCCCTTGGAGCGGCAGTAGCGGGCCATGACCACCACCAGGATGAGGAGGATGACGATCATGATGCCGGCCACTACGCCGATAACTATGCTAAGTCGCTGCTTGCTCAGCTCGTAGCTGGGGTCACCGGCGATGTCCTGGGCCAGGGGCGTGTGGAGGCTGCGGGCCACCTGGCTCTCCACCACAGTGGCATTGGACAGGCTCTCATTGACAAAGACGTGGAGCAGGGCAGTGGTGGATTGGGGCGGCTGCCCACTGTCGTTCACCTGCACCACGAGGCGGTGCAGGCCATAGTGCTTGGGAGCCAGCTTGCCCACCAGTGACACCACACCGCTGGCCGGGTCGATCTCGAAGAGTTTGAAGGGGTTGCCCCCAATGATGCTGTAGTTGAGGTCGGCGTTGAGACCGGTGTCGGCATCGGTGGCGACCACTGTGGCCACCACGGTGCGCATGTTGCTGGAGGGTGGCAACACGGTGTAGGAGCTGTTGCTGGGGAAGGTGACCGTGGGCGCGTTGTCGTTCTCATCCATCACGAAGAGGGACACAGTGGCGGTGGCAGAGCGTGGTGGCTCACCTCCGTCGACAGCCTTCACCTTAAAAGTGTAGCTGGTCTGCTGCTCCCGGTCAAAAGAGACAGTGGAGAAAATGGTTCCAGTGTCGTTCTCGATGGAGAAGATGCCGGCTGCCTGGTCGTGGTCGCCGGGCTGGATGGAGAGGCTGAGCTCGGCATTGCGGCCCTTGTCGAAGTCCATCACGGTCACCATGCCCACGGGGCTGTTGGGCTGCAGGTTCTCCTTCACATAGAAAGTGAACACGTCCTGCATGAAGCGCGGCTCATTGTCATTGCGATCCGCCACCCGCACCACCACCGTGGTGGAGCCCTGCAGCGATGGCACCCCCTTGTCCCGGGCCGTCACCTGGAACTCGTAGGTGTCGCGTTGCTCGCGGTCCAGCACCGCCTGTACTGACACGTCCCCAGAGTCAGGGTCGATGCTGAAGATGCCGCCTGGCGCCTCTGAGGAGAGGGGTGAGGCCTCCAGGGAGTAGGTGATCTCGGCATTCTTGCCGCTGTCTGCGTCTGTGGCGACCACCGTGGCCACCCTCTCGCCGGGCAAGTTGTTCTCCGGGAAGGAGACCTCCAGCACAGCCTGGCTGAACACGGGAGGGTTGTCGTTAGTGTCCCCAACCCGCACCAGCAAGGAGTTGTTGCTGGACAAGCTGGGGCTGCCTGAGTCCACAGCCACGATCACCACGTTGTAGTCGCGGACAGCCTCATAGTCCAGAGGGGCCGAGGTGTGGAGGAAATACTTGCGCTTGTTCTGCGGCTCCCCTTCGCCCTCGCTGGCCGGCTTGAGCTGGAAGGGCACGTCGCCCACCACGGTGCAGGTCACCACACCGTTTTCACCTTGGTCCCGGTCCGATACCTGCACCAGAGCAATGGGGGTATCCACCAGCACATCCTCAGCCACGCTAGCCACCCCGTCGCGGAGCGGGATGCGCCCGATTTTCCGGATGTCAATGGTGGGCACGTTGTCGTTTTCATCACGGATGTTCAGCACGACCGTGGCCTTGTCTGTCTTGGGGGGCTGGCCCCGATCTCGGGCCATGACAGTGAAGCGAAGCTGGTTCACCTCCTCCCGGTCTATGCGGTGCAAGACGCTGAGCCAGCCGGAGGTCTCGTCCAGCCGCAGCAGGCGCCTGACGGACTCGGTGGCCGCCCCAAAGACGTACTCGATCTGCCCGTTCACCCCCACGTCCAGGTCGGCGGCTCGCAACTGCAGGATGGGGGTCCCGGGGCTGCTGTTCTCTGCCAGGTCTGCCTCGTAGACGCTCTTCTCGAAGCGGGGGCTGTTGTCGTTCACGTCGGTGATCAGCACCCTCAGGATAGCCTGCGAGGACCGCGCCGGATCGCCGCCGTCCCGCACGCGGAGGCTGAGCTCGTAGGAGTCCCGCTGCTCTCGATCCAGCGCCCCCTTGACGATCAGCTGCGGCTGCTTCTCCCCGTCGAGGGTGTCGGCCACCTG